CAGGGACCCGTTCGCACGGCATCGCCAGTGAAGAATAAGTGCTTCTCGTAAGGCGACTTAACCGTCGCATCGTTGGAACTTCGGTGTCCTCGTCTGCCGTGACAGGAACACACCGACAAGACAGCTCTGGCTTTTCTACCGATACTGTAACCGTATGGCAAGTCAAGGAGACACTGAAACGAAGAAGTGAAGTACGGCAGAACGGCAGCACAAGAGACGGCGCTAGCGCCCGGACGCAATGCAACTTTCAGTACTTTGCAGCAACACGGTGTATGCACTCTTGCCAAGATCATGGTGGATAAGTCAGATTAGTGAGAAGAGGCCGGTTTCACCGAAATCACATGAATGATTCGTTCTGCCTTAAAGACCTGAATTTTGGACCCGGTTCAATGAGGACATCATGCAACTGCAATCGTCAACTCGAAACGCCTGCTATAGTTTCCACATATCAGATGGATGAAGTTCAACTGATTCTTGATTCTCGGTTGATGAAGCTCAAATGCTAAATCTCGAAACGAGAGGCCTGCCTCGTGTCGAAACTCACCTCTAATGACTACCAAAATCATTGATATGAATGAACATGTCAGGGCGAGGCTATTTCGGCGGAGTTCTCGTGCCTCGACGAAAACAAAGGGCGTTGTTTATTTATTCAAATTTACTTTTACACCTTGTGCTGTTTTTCAGTCAACTCTCAGGTGGATCAGGGCGAATTTCAGTCGTTAATCGCAAGTATCAGACAGCAAAGCCGTATGTCTGGCATGTTTTGGCAAGACCACACCAAAGCACCATGTTGTCCGTGTTATTCACAGGTAAACGACCAGCTATCCGTTTTCTGGCTGGCTGCACCGAAGCAAAGTGGGTTGAATGCCTTGCTCAAGGGACTTAGCAGTAAATAAGGAAAAATTGACGCCGCTCGTTGAGTTCGAACTCGTACGTGCAAAATAACCTACTGGCCAACTGCAGGACTGCTCCCTCTGCTTAAAGACGTTTCCTCTGCATTTCCTGATACCGCCCACTAAGCATTTTTCCGCCCTTCCGTTACTCAAGAGTCGATGTCTTTCGTTTAGTTAGCAGACCGCATTTGAGGAGTGAACAACGCGTTTCGTCGGGGAGCAATACCGATTATGGTACTCAAACTTTACCTCTATAATCCATAGAAACTCTCGTCGCTGCCAAGTAACCCGTCACAGATGGGCGGAAGGAAGATCCAGCGAAAGTAGTTCAGAGGCCGGCATACAAAGCGCTACAGCTAGAAAAGGATTCAAACTCGTGCATGTCCTCAATAATGCAAATCCCTGACTGGCATACCAATCTGCTTATATTTCATCGTGCTTGCACACGCTATAAAACAGACTAACAATCATACAAACCACCAGCCTGAAATACTGCCCGTGCTGAAGGAATCTCCGAGAATATATCGTTTTGGGCAGAGCAGATGCGCCTGGGTGGCGTTAAACTCTTCGCAACTTTCTGCTTTACTTTTCTTTCGAAACCAGATGACCGAGAACACTTCTAATAAAGTAGCTGATCTCTAAAACAGGTCGAACATTTATGTCCATTCTGAAAAATTTTTCTGATGACAATTGTTCTTTCATCTTAGACAGTATTCAAATTTAAACGGCATAATTCTTTTATTAAAATTATATAAACTGAAAAAGCGGTGGACAGTGGTCGGCTGCGAATTCCAGAGTCGAGTCTGAAGAAAGGACAAAGTTTGTGTTAACCTCAAATTCCTTTGAATGAATTTGTCCCGCTCCGCTTCAGAGTAACCAGCCGAAAACCAGCAGCAAGCCCGAGGACAACACGGTGTTCTGGTGCGATAGTACCAGAATGGGCGAGATGTGAGGACATGCCATCAAATTGAGTGTCTCTTATGGCTACGCTTCGCCTTCGCTTTTCTGATAACTGACTAGGCAGGTGATAATCAGCGCAAAGTAGAACCAAAACTTGAAATCAACCTCAGAAAGCTGTACCTCGCACGAATGCTTTGGTAATAGTCTAGACTTGGCTACACTTTGTCACGATTATGCTTTACGGTTCGATTTGCCATCGTACTTTTCAACACCATGATTACAGTCATTGGCGTTATTCATTGTGGTGATTTTAATCCTGCCGATCAGAAGGCCCAGTGCCGTAGATTTTACATAACGTGTTCATTGGACAATAGTACATCATAAGCATTTCAAAGTCTTATCAGCTTGTAATGTGAAAGCAGGCTTTCACGGTACTGCGACGTAGGGCGGTGGGCTTCAAAGGCGAATGAATGAAAAAGTACTGTAAAACATAAAACATTATCCACGTCCTGCGACCGTTAAGTGTAGCAGCGCCCTTCATGAAAGCCTACCCTTCGCTCAACTGGCTTACACACCAACAAGAACATGCAACTGTCGATCTCGTCCCGTAGTGAGATTCGTTTTATCGACCTTTCGCCGCTTACCGCCATCAACGAAAGCCCCACATCCTTGCCAGAGTGCTCTACAGCTTATGAATCGGCCGACGGATTTCTTCCTTTCCCTCACGTCATGTCAGATAAGATCACAGCATGGAAATCAGCGATCCTCAGTCTAAGCCACGAAATCTTCTCGTGACCAGTCGCCTGTTTCGCGTCGTTCACGCATTCACAAATCAAAACCCTTAGAAAGATCTCAGTTGTGTCTGCGAGAAACATAACCAGATATCTAAGCCATTCCAAAACAACCGCCGTACCATGATTACATAAAGTCGACTGTCGGAGTGAGGTTGTCCCCCCCCCACCCTCATCCTTTGCTTACTGTGTGCGCGCCAGCACCGTGGAATAGCACAGTGCTGTCTGCAGTGGCTACGGTATCGGCGCAACTGAAAAGCACCAACATTTTAGGACGAAGGTTGAAAGACATCGTCTGACAAAACTGTGGACGATGAACGTCAGCCTCGAAGGTAATGCGCTACTGCGGAACGGAAATAAACGCTTCTGTCGTTGCTCATCAGCAACGACGGCGAAAGCATCGTGTCGCTTCGTCAACGCTACGCATGATGCTCTACTTTCGTTCGAGCCGGCAGTAGATCATCGATTGACAAGCGTGTCCTGCTAAATACAGTGAAATCCTGGTTTAATGACATCAGGTTAAGTGAAAATCCACTTTTAATGAACATATGATCAGGACTAGTTCGAACAAAGCTCTTTCAAAGTCTCGGTCAGTAATTAACTGAAAAACTCAATTCAGCGTAAGAAACAGCGCTCCTCCAGAGAATCGATAAGCAGAGGTTTCGTCACCTACAGGTCAGTTCCTGTAATCAACTCTGATTCATCAAAGAAGGATCATAAGGTACTTCGTTAGGCGACCCTTCTGACGTCAGTCATCAGAAAATCGATCGAAAGTAGTTTCTCGTTAGGACAGCACGTCTAAAGGTTCAAGGGTTCTCTCATACAGTAATACGTTACATCGACTTAGGTCGTTTGTGCATTTAGTCAAAACTTGATCACGACCGCAGAAAATTGATCACGTTGCTGAAGCAACAGAAAAACGATCGTTCTCGCTTCACAACATGATTTGGAGATTGACGCTGAAGATGTTCATATCAGGAGCTATTACACTCCCGTAACGAAGAGTTCACACTCAATGATATTGCAGAAATTCAAAACCAAACTGCTGTCGAGTCAGCTGAGGAGGCAGAACACGAACGGATCATCACGATGACAGACGAAAGTTAACTGGAGGCCTTGAACTGATTGAGGCCGGTCCGAAGGGTCTGGAAGCAATCGATTCGAATGAAGACTGGGTAGTAACTGCTAGACAGTGCATGAAGAAGGCGATCGCCAGTTACAAAAAAATTTTGTTGGAGAGAAGACAATTTTTATCCCGCCACACTTCACCGTCGGACTTCATACAATCAACCTCCTTAAGCTAAAATCTGTTGTATGTTCATTTTGTTTTGCTTAATGTGTATTTTTACAATGAAAACGTTATAATTCGCCAACTGCTGTTGCATTTTTATTGATTGAACTGGCTGTGAAGAACCAACTATGTCATTTTAGTATTAAATTGCATGAACCTTTTTATTTCGAGTATTACTGTACTTTCGCTGTCAACCATAAAAGACCTTAATCACCGTTTGCATGAAATGTTTCGTAGGTCGTTTCAATATATAACGACCCTACAAATGGCTGCAGTGCACTTTCAGCCAGAACGAACTATTCGACTCAACCCTACCATTCCAGCTAAACGAACGATGTTG